TAAAAACATATTTACTTAATCTTGAAATCAAATAAAACTAATAATAATATTAATCAACAATGTAACAATGAATTTTAAAATCATACCTCTATAAAAATCGGAGAAGATAATTTATAAGTAATAGTTTCTTTTTTTTAATAATTTTTTATGTAATTTTCATTAAATATTTGTAATTTTGTTAAGACTTAATCTTGTAATAAGATATGTATATGTCTGATTAAAAACAGATATTTCCACTTAAAACTATATTACTATTTATTTATCTCTAAAAAATAAAAAAAATTACAAAATATTTTTGTATAAACGTAATAAATATAATATAAAGTTAATATTAATTGCAGCCATACAAAAAGTCTATTTTTTTAATAACTCTAATAACAACAAGTAATTCATATTAAAGTAAATTTTTCAATTTTTAAATTTCATTCATTTATTAAAGAAATAATAAAAATAATTTTAAGATTATGAATTCAAAAATTGAAAAATAATTAAAATAATCAGTTTTGAATAGAATTTTCAATATTTTCATTCTTCATTATTCCTGAGATAATAAACGAGGTTCCTTGAAACAAAAGATAAAGAAAAGAATATAAAGAAGCACATAGAATTAAAAATAATTATAACGTTGTATTCGATGTACCTTGTAATTTTTAAGTGTTCTTGCAGTTGGGGTTGCACCAGAGGAGAATGCGCGCCAAGAACAAACACGAACGGGGAAGGTGTCGCAGATGTATTACTATCGTTAAAACATGCGGTAGTTCATCCTGGAAGTCCTACTGGAGGATACTACTCAACAGGAGGATCGAATCATCATTATTCCCAGGATTACACGCAAAATCTTGGTCCACCTGTACCACCCACGCATTATACTTCCACGCCAGCCATGTCTGTCAATGTTTCCATGAATATGACCATGAACATGAATATGCACTCTGGGTGAGTATTATTTTCAAATCAGATATTCTTAATTTTTTAATGTAAAAAAATAAATTTAAAAATGATTCGCTATTATAAATATAAAAATAATTATTAATGCTATTTTTTTACTATTCTTAGAAAAACTAAATTCAAAAATTTCTAAAAAAACTAATAAATAACTAAAAAATTTCTTTAAAAAAAAAAATATTCAATTTATCATACAAATGTAAGAATATTTTAATATGATAAATAATTCAATAATATGAAATAAAATACTTTCTCATACGAAAATCATGATAATTATTAAAATTTTCATCATTATTATATTTTTATTATTATTTAAAAATACATAGATATTCATATTTTTTTAAATCATTTTTATGTAGAGAAAATGTTTGCTAGAAATTGACATTTTATTGGAAGCCATACAAAATATAAAGTAAATCAATAAGTGCCTAGCATTCCATGATTCTATTCGAAAAAGGAATGAATTATTTTTAATTGCATATTCACATAATAAAATATCATTTTTTGTCACTATTATTCACTATTTAAATATATATATTATATAACTATATAATATAACTATTTTATAACTAATTTAAAATATTTATTTTTTAATATTATATTATTTTTTAAAAATATTATATGATTTCTTTTACAATATATTTAAAATTATTGTAAAAATTTGTATTGTAAAAATACAATAATTTCCAAAAATTTTTTAAAATTTATTTATAATATCACAATAGATATATTATTTAATATAAGAATTTAAATAATTTAAAAACTTCTATTATATATTGAATATATATAATTCATATAATATTTTCTTTTATCATATAAAAATTATATTTTTTTATTCTTACCTTTTTAAATAATTATAAAATAATATAGAGCTCGAAATTATTGAATAACTTTGAGATAGAAAAAAGTAGATATTGAGATAGAAAAGTAGTAGATATATACAATAATAATAATATTCTTATTGAATATTTAATTCACCTAACAGATAAATATATATAATTACTGAATCTCTTAAAAAATCCTTAAAAAACATTTACATATATAATAAAAATATTATATATTATATCAAATATTTTAAAATATTAAATAACTTATTTTACAACAAAAACATTTTACGAAATATCCTCCGATAATTTCCAACAAGTAATGTAATCTTTCCATTTTCGAGTAACACATTTTTCAAAATAATTTTGAAACGGAATAATCTTTTACTATTTTACTTTACAAAAAGGGTGTGTCTAAAAAGATGCAAAAGCAGAGTTATTCAGGAAATTTACGGTTGTGTGCGTAGATACGAGCAAAGCTATTCGTCGACATGGGGCGTGGAACCCCTGTTAAGTCCCGCCCCACAGTATAATCCCGTGGAGCAGCAAGCAAGGGTGAATCAACCCCCGGCCAATAGCCTGATCGGCACCAGTACCCATCCTCATTCTCATCCTCCAGCGCACAGCCATTCCAGGTTGCAATTGTCCAGTGAGCATGCTCTGTGCATAGGCGCCACCGGAAATCCAGTCACATCCGACGATAATGGCAGACCTAACCTTTGCAGAATTTGCGGCAAATCGTACGCGCGACCGAGCACCCTTAAGACGCATCTTAGAACGCACTCTGGAGAAAAACCATTTAGGTTAGTGACGAGACTACTTCGATTATCGCTCGATAACATATCGATAAAAATTCATTTTTATTTGATAATTTGATATTTTATGTTTAATTAATATTGACTGAAAAATTAAGAGTAAAATTTAATTTAAGGAATTATTTATTTTTTATCTATTCTTCTATTAATCGATAAATTTTGACAATCCAATCGAATCCAAAAATAGTTTCAATTTTAAGAATTTTAATATCATAAGTTATATACTTTAAAAAAGCATATTATTAACGCATATATTTCTAATGAGATGAGTCAATAGTTTCAGATAAGATATTTATATCTGTATGGTAATAAGAAATAGATATCTTACGTGTATACGTTGATATAACTGTAGGTAATATAGGTCTCTGTCTGTGCATTCCAAATGAGATATCAATTAAATCTTTATTGATATGATTAAATGAAATAAAAATCAAATTTAATTTACATTCGATTTATAATATCTAAGGATTATTTTAATTATATTAATTCTATTCTATATAACTTGAAATAGATTAATATCATATGTAAAATATTCATAATTTTTAATATATAAATTCCTAAAGATAAAATTGGTATATTTAAATTATATGTTTATCAAAATCTATCGATTGATAAAAAATAAATGATTCTCTAAACTTTAATCTTAAGATGAAATATTCATAGATATTAAAAATCTTGGTAATTAATTAAAAAAATTAATTATTGTAATAAATTAAGACTATTTGTTGATTTATTTTATCGACTATAAATAGAATAATATGTATAAAACAATTTAAATTCAATAAATATTTTAGAAAATATTGAAAATATAATATAATATTGATAATATTACCATGTTGTTTATAGGATTAGCAGAATTGAAGTAAAAATTAAATTAAATATGATAATTTGATAAATATTTTTAAAAATTAATAAATATTTTATTCTAATTAATATTATCAAAAATACTTTGAACCATTGTATGTAAATAGTTATTCTGATTTTTTAACATTATTCGCGAGACTATCATTACTATTATTACTTTAGGTTAGGTTTAAAACTTTGATATTAAAATTAAATGATACAAATTTAATATGAAGTTAATACCTTTTTGTTAAGATAATTTTTGTAAATACAATTAATTCACAAATTTTTTAGACAAAATACTTACAGCCATTTTTCCTATAAATTGTTTTTCGCAATTACAGTACTTAAATTTCAAATAGAACAAACAAATTATGAATATAAATTTTGTAACCGATATGTCATAACATCGTTATCTTAAAATCAAAATTTAACGCACGATATTAAAAATATCTAATATCTAAAAATATATATGTTTAAATGTAATATCTTAGTATCAAAGTTGATCTATGGTCAAAAATAATGTTATAATAACAAATGAACGTTATGTATGACAGATTGATGTGTCAAGACGATCTTCCAATAAAATCTTAAAATTCAAAATTTTTGATGCAATAATTTTGCTAATATTATTTTATATTTACAAAATATTTAAAAATTTACATTTTTTTTAGATGTCACGCGTGTTCAAAGGCATTCAGTCAAGCCGCGAATTTGACTGCTCACGCAAGAACTCATTCCGGAGAAAAACCATTTCGATGTCCAGTGTGCGATCGAAGATTTTCGCAAAGCAGTTCCGTAACCACACATATGAGAACGCATTCAGGAGAACGTCCATATAGGTGAATTTTATATTATTATATGAATTATTACTTATATACCATAATATGTGCCACTTAAACCAATATATCGTTATTTGGAAATATTTGTATCTTATTGCATACAAAAAGAAGATAAAAAAATGTTTAATAACTACTTCTAATTATATAAAATTATTTTCTTAAATTTATATAAATTACTTCCAAGTAACGATTAGCAACATAATTATATTAAAGAACAACTACTTTTGTAGTTCTCTTAATCAATTTACCTTATAATCGGCAACCTCTTTTTTTCCAGATGTCGATTCTGCAAAAAAGCATTTTCAGATAGCTCTACATTAACCAAACATCTTCGTATTCATTCTGGTGAGAAACCGTATCAATGTAAGCTGTGCTTGCTGAGGTTTAGCCAAAGCGGTAATCTCAACAGGCATATGAGAGTCCATGGCGGTTCTCTAACGTGACACAACTCAATATCGATTATCGATAGCAATCGCGTTCTATTGCGATGTTGTCGAATACCTGTGATTCAACTTGGTTCGAGCTTACCGGCAAAAATGTAAAATAAAATAATATAGTCGATACTTTAAGAGTTCTGCTTCCTGACTGACTCAAATTTGCAAAGCGTTCGTACGAACACTTGATTATTTAAGGGCTTATATTTGGATATTTTTTTAAACGATATACAAGACAAGTAATAATCACAATATGTGTTATATTTGGCATTAGGAACTCGTCAAGAATTCATTTTATATATATGTATATCATTATCATCGTTGTCGTCACCATTATCTTTTGAATTGAAATCGAAAAAAATAAAAAATAAAATGCGTTGGCACCGTTATAATTTTAGAAAATATTCACTTCTGAAATTTCCTAGTTGTTTGTTCGTTTATATTTATGAATTGCTTACAAAAAGGTCAGGATAGGTTAACAGGGAATCGCAGATTTAGACCTACAGCATCCACCACAGCACCGTTGATTATTGTACAAATATTGTATTTATTATAATTATTATTAATTATAATATTAATGTTGCTGTTTTCACCATCTTCAATTCTCATTACGTGGCTTTTTCTTTATCAATTTGCTTCTTTTTGTAATTGTAAAATAAAGATGTTTTGGCGCCATTTTCATCAAGAAAAAAAGAAAAGAAGAACGACCTCTCTTATATATAATAAATATATATATTATATATAAAATATATATATAATATATATAATATTCGTATGAGAACAACTAATTAAAAAGGATGAATGAATATGTGAGTTTTTTTTTTGT